AACAAATTTTATAACCAATTGAAAAAAAAAATTCATTTTAATGGACAATTTTCAAATAAAATAAAGTCAAACGAACACTAAATTTTGATTAAAAATGATTTTTTAGGAAACAATTTTTTTTCATTTTTTTTTACTTTTTGACAATGGAAATAAATTTTATAACCAATTGTAGAAAAAATATCACTTTAATGGACAATTTTCATGTAAAACAAAATCAGACGGACATAAAATTTTAAAATTTTCCAGGTAGAAAATTATATCAATCAAACACACTTAATTAACAAATCCCTACAAAATAATTTCTAAGCAATTATTTTTCCTGGAATTCATTTTCTTTCCACCCATTTTCCATCATTACAATCAAACTGACCCTAAGTGTATTTGGAATGCATTTTTCTTTTAATGGGAATAAACAGCTCATACTTCGTCAAGTGTCACCACAATAGTCGTTGGATTGGATGACCTTCCATAATACTCTCAGTTTAGGGTTTGGATTGGGATGACTTTTCATTCTCTTCATTCGAACTCCCTCTGTGTGTTCTTCACTTCCTTTCTTGCACTCTGAACAGATAGACCTTTTTGATCTAAAATACTTCCAACTTTGAATAGATTTTGAGTGATTAGTATAGTGTCCATAGATGTTATTCTTGAGTGAATGGCTGTATCGATTAGAGAGACTTGTGTTGATGTAATCTTGAGTGATTTTTTCTGAGTGCCGTGAAAGTGTATTATGGACAGTTTCATTGATTCCGGTTAATATAGTGATTTTTTTTTGTGGCGAAAGCTCGAAAGGGGATTAGGAACTACGGTTCTGAACCTCTTAACTTAGAGAGAAAATCGTCGTGTTCTTTATGCATTTCTTTCAGTTTTGTGTTTTACAGTTCCATATTTTGTTGATTAAAGTGTCTTAAAATTTTGAACATAATCGTAACACTTTTTATAGTGCCCAAATTAGACGCGGTCGACTCCCAATTCTTTGACTTATAGGTCATAATTTATTTATCAGTCACAAATCACATATGTTATATGTTACTATTTATTTCACGATTACAAATTTTCAAATTAATTGACCACAATTTATCAAATTTTAAGTCACAATTACAAATTTAGTTACAATCATACATTCTTCTAACTCATATATTATTTACTGGTCCCAAATAAAAATTTATTAGTCGCAATACCCGAATAATTGATTTCTAACACTCTTCTCATCCCACCGTACCACCTGAGCACCACCGCCTCTAGAACCATTACTACCTTACAAGCATCACCACGGCACCCGCAGAACCACCACACCGCCATGGCACAAATGCACCATCACACCCGTAGTACACCACCAACACACACCGCACCCACGACACCTCACCACCACACAACACACTACCATACCTACATTGCACCACCAACACACTGCACAAAAACTATCGGCCACTACAACCCACAACTCCTTTTGTCATGGAACAAATCAAAATCAGAAATTAAAAATAATGATCTGCAACGAAGGAGCAAAGAAAAGTGACATAATCGAAGGAGAAACGAAGAAGGAGCACTGTCCAGTCATATCGTCGATGCATCCCCATTATAGTTGAATGACATCGCATCCCGTTACAGTTGAGCATTTGCACTTGAGCGATAGTCACAATCAGCTTTGTGTGGTGGTGGTGGTGCGCTACACGGCGTCGTCAACATGTCGACAAAGAATGGAGAAGGTGGGGAGAGAACAGTGAAAGGAAAGTGAATGAGAGAGAGTGAGAGTAGATTAAAATGTCTTAGGGTTTGAAATTGGGTGGGGTGACTGTTTTGGTGGGTGGTGGATTTGTAGATTTATTTAATTTTATATTATTAATATTATTATTTAAAAATTATATTATCATCTGATTTTTATATAAAAAAAACTTTAAATCTTAGGCCATGTTTGAGCCACGTTATGTTTTCATTCTCATTCTTCTACTCATTTTTAATCACATATTCTTCAATAAAATAATATTTTTCATTACATCAATAACTTTTCCTTTTTTTTCAATAACATATTTCCCATCACATGAATAGTAAAAACATATTTTTTTCCAAAAATGTGCTCCAAACGGGACTTAATTTTGAAGTTGAAACTTAAAAAAACTAGATTGTGTAATTTTCACTTTAAAAAATCGCATTTTTAACTTGTTGAGTCACTTGACCCATCAAGCCCCACTCTCCATCGGCCCATGCTTCAACTTTTGATTAATTAGTATGTCTCGTTCTTGATAATAATTTATATCAAAATATTATGTTTTTATACTTTAAAATGAAGAAAAAATATTTTTTTCGTATTTTTTTCAAATTCGATGAAAAAATAAGTTGTTTTATGCCATTTTGAAGAATTTTTGAACATAAAACTATTATGAATTACATGTGTTAACTAATGAAAAGTTTGATAATAAGAATGACACTAAAAACTATTAGGGACATAAGTACTATAATGAGCAAAGATTAAGGACTTTAACTTCAATTAAAATGTGATGCAATAAATAAAAATTATGGTGTGAATATAATTACCTCGTTAAAAAGGTCAAAGTTATATTATGATGACAAAATGCCTTTATTTAATCCACTCATGGACACCCATCATTTCGACGTCTTTTCCTCATTTAGGAATCGGCCCTTCTTCAGGTGCATCAAGTATTTCAGTGTCTAATAACACTGTTAACATTATAAGGTTCAACCTTCCTTAGGGAGTTTAGGTAACACTCCCTTGACCCCATTTGATCACCTCTAATAGTAGCACTACCATGTTCAGTATTGAACTTCATACATGGGTGATAGACATAAGTGACAAAGACGACCTATAATTCCTTCAATGCTGGCCTACCTAGGACTCATGGTAAGCTGACATGTTATCCATCACAAGAAATTACATGAAGTGGCGAGCTACTTGAGGATGTGACCTCATCTCCACTATCAGAGTGATTTTTTCCCTCGAGATAATGTTATCACCAGTAAAATCGTATAATAGGAAGGTTATGGAGTTAACTTACAATCTACTAACATCTTATCATAGGTGGAGCCAAACATTATGTCAACTAAGCTCTAATTATCTGCCAACATGCATTTCAACCCATTGCAAGCTATATCACAATGAAGGTAGTGTAGGTCTGTTGCATCTTCCTAGGTGAAAGTGATAGGCTCTATTTGCCTTGTCTTTTGGGTATGGTTGACTATATAACTAGCTATGAGTAAATATTTGGCTTCTCTAACATAATTTCTTTGTACATTTCGAGACTCACTTCCCACATGTGGACCTCCAATGATTGAATCTATTTCACGAATAGGTGCATTATCCACTTCAGATAGGGGTTTTTTTTTGTCTTTGTCCTGCCTTTCTCTATCCTCATCTTTCTGTGATGAGGTGAGTGGTCTCTAGGAGATCACCTTTCCTCATCTCGTGTAGACGGTTGGACTTGCCTTGGTGGGGGGGATTTCCTTAGGGACAATTCTCTCTCCTTGGTTCAAGGGGAGTGTCTCGCTCCATGAGTCGAGGTATGTCTCTGCACTTACTAGTATTATGATCGTGAAATATATGGAAAGTTCAGCAAGGTCGAACCTCACCATAGGGCCTATTTTTAGGTTCAACACCTCTTTCATTATGTCTTTGGTATGAGTGCCTTCTTGGGACAACTCTAGTTCTGTATGGCTACTCGGTCCGACCTCTTTATAAGCTAAGGTCGGCACAATATTTATTGTATCTGTGGCTAAGGTTTGGCCCAAAGTAGGGAAAATTACATGTCCAGGTTGGATCTAATGTCGGTTTACCAAGTGAGAGGTGGGACATCTTCCCATTTTCCTTTGACAAGTTAGGAGTCCTTGAGCTGCCCTATTTCGATGATCACTCATTTCCTCGCTAATGATTTCAACCCTCATCATGTCCACCAATTTGTCATAAGTGGTTGGATTTTTGTTTTGAACATCTCTACAGAACAAGATGTTCATGTTGAGGTCTCCTTTAAGGGCGGATAGGGCTTCTCTGTCAGTGACCTTTTCATAGTAGGTCATCATGTTGGTGAAACGAGCCAAGTAGCTTTTCAATGTTTCACCAACCGTCTGCATCATGTTCTAGAGGCATTGAATAGAAGCTTCCCTTTACTTCTTGGCCAAGTATTGATTTAGGAAAGCTTTTTTGAGGTTAGGTTAGCTCTTAATGCTTCCTGTTGGTATTTTACTATACAAAATTTCAGTCACTCCACTTAGAGTTAAGTGGAAGTCTATGTATTTCAATGATGGTGAGGCACCTCTTAGGCTCATGTACATTTTGTAGTTGTTAAGGTACTTCTCTGGATTACCTCTCAATTCATACATTAGGAGACTTGGCATGCAGGCAATTCAGAGCTCTTTGGAGAAGGGGAGGTCATCATCATCATCATCGTCGTCAAGTTTATAAGACCTACACGGTCCCATCAAAATCATCACCATCAGCCTCATATCAAGGTAGCTACTGTGATGGACATGTTTGGTTCCTTAAGTTCCCCTTGTCCCTTCTTTTGCGCCTATTTCTAGGTGGGGAGACTTGTTGCTGATCTTGGCCTTGCATTTGCTCATGAGACCTAGCTATAGGAGATGGTGGGCGAGACCTATTTCTAGGTACATTGGGGTCGATTCTATTAAAAACGCTAGTAGACCTTTGAGGTCTTTGCTCTTGCTCATAATCAGGAAGAAAATTGCCTTCTCCAAAGAGCGTCTCAT